AAGTCAGTGCTTTTGACAAAGCAGATATTAAGAACAATTCAGTCAATATATGATGATTTGAACGGTGAATGCATTTGATTGAGGTTGATTCCAAAAGATAAAGTAATTCTAGGTCAAATTTTCCACTTAAAACCAATCACAGGCATGGATTGAGAATTAGCGGGATCAAGCTCTCATTTTACAAATGAGGAAACTGAGGCTTGAAAAGATTACGTCACTGGCCTGTATTAACTCTTGTATAAACTCATTTAATCCCTAATGTTTATCTCCGGGGTTTTTCTTCGTTTAGGGCTCTCCTAGCAGACATTGAAGCCCACTATCAGGACCCTTCACTTCCTTATCCCAAAGAAGATAACACACTTTTATATGAAATCACAGCCTATCTGGAGGCAGCTGGCATTCACAACCCACTGAATAAGGTGAATAATTAAAATATATAATGGCGGGGGTTGGGGTACAGAATGGTATTTGGCCCAGGTAACAGATTACTGTGTAGAAATACCAGAGGAACCTGCGTTCAGACCCCAGAACCTTCATTCCATTCAGTTCCCTGCCCTTTCTAAGCAATCATCATACTTTCCCCGCCTGGCTTGGGTCTGGGAGAATCAAGTGCTATAGCGCTGGTGAAAGCTCATGACAAAGGGGAAAGTGCTGCATCCGTGTAAGAGATGAGTTTTGGGTTTCACTGGGGTTTGCAGTTCAGTCATCAAGGCCCAACAAACCCAAAATGGTAGCATTGATCTGTCTTGCCAAAGATGCTTCCCCTTGTGGCTGACGGTAATCCCAGTCATCACAGGAGCTACAAACTCTTTTCTGCAGTTGTGAGCTCAGAAAACCTCTAAGAACTGAAAGTTTTTTCATAACTCAGTGCCCGGTCTCTCTGCGTGGCAAAATCTGTCCTGAGCTGACATAAGGCTGTTTATACTAGTTATTTATCCTTCTTACTATAAACATTCATATATTTTGATGCAGACTTTGATTATAGTGCATTACTGACTTTGATTATAGCGCATTACCCTAGCCCCTATATTGTCTTTCTAAAATCTATAAAATTTGAAATTCTGAAATCTGTATTATCCCTTGTGTTTTGGATAAAAGATTATAGACCTGAATAGTAGCTAACGTCTTGAATATTTACTGCGTAACAAGTGCACTGTCTTAACCCTGATGGTGGATTATCTCACTTCATCTCACAACAAGCCCTGTGAAATACACCATTATGAGTTGAGGAACCCGAGGCTCAGAGAGGCTAGCTAGCAAGTGGAGGAGCCAGGCAGTCTGACCAGAGCCTGTGCTTCTGACCCGTGTGCTACCCTGTCTCCTGTGGAATCGGCCAGCTGGGAGTCTGGACCCAGCCGTGTATGCCCTGACTATAGTTTCTGCCGTGACATCTGGGAGACTGCTCTTTGACATTGCCTAGGGGACAGCAAATGACAAGAACTTTGCTCTCTTTCTACTTAGATACTACCAGTCGCTGCTACATGGATCTTTTCCCTCTACTCTCCCTCTTCCTCCTCTCCTTCTTCCCTTTTTCCCTCTCTCCCTCTTCTCCCTCCCACACTCCCCCTATATTCCCCTCCAGCTCTGCCTCAACTGCTCTTCATTTTGCCTTCCCCTCCCATTCTTGCTCATCACTCATTCCTCCCGCCCTTTATTAATGACATTAACAGGATTCAGGGGGAAAGTCATTCTAAGCAAAATCGTTTTCTTTCCAGAAGGGCAAATGATGTTATAGGTATTTATGTGGGCAAGGCCAGGTGTGTTAAATACAACTCTGAAGGCAGCAAATTAATGGAACCATCCACATTTCAGGAAGGCCAAAGAGCAAACTGAAGTAAAATGGAAGATTTTCATTTGGAAACCTGATCTGTGATATTGTGCAATGTGAATTAACCATCCATTTTTCTTACCTTTTCTCTTTCCAGATATACATAACAACAAAGCGCTTACCCTATTTTCCAATTGTCAACTTTCTATTTTTGATCGCTCAGTTGCCAAAACTTCAGTACAACAAAAATCTAGGTACGTATGACATTTGTTATTTGCAGTGAGTAACAATACCAACAGATTAGCATCTCACTAAATAGCTCTTTGTATGGACATGCCTTTCAATATGTCAGATATGAGATCTTTTCTTAGTTAAATTCATGTTTAAGAAATTCAAGTCTTTATGCCTCTGAAATACAATGCCTTTTTATGAACTGTAGACAGTGGATTTATTTATTTTTATTTTTATTTTTATTTTATTTTTTTGAGACGGAGTTTTGTTCTTCTCGCCCAGGCTGGAGAGATGGTCTCGGCTCACTGCAGCCTCTGCCTCCCAGGTTCAAGTGATTCTCCTGCCTCAGCCTCCCAAGTAGCTGGGATTACAGGCACATACTACCACGCCTGTCTAATATTTTTGTAGTTTTAATAGAGACAGGGTTTCACCATGTTAACCAGGCTGGTCTCAAACTCCTGACCTTAGGTGATCCGCCTACCTCGGCCTACCTAAGTGCTGGGATTACAGGCGTGAGCCACCACACACGATCAGATTTATTTACTCTTTTTTAAGTACACTTATTTATTTATTTTATTTTATTTTTGAGACAAGGTCTCACTCAGTCACTCAGATGGAAGTACAGTGGCACAATCTCAGCTCACTACAGCCTTGACCTCTCGTGCTCAAGAATCCTCCCACCTCAGCCTCCTGAGTAGCTGGGACTATAGGCGCATACCGCCATGCCCAGCTAATTTTTTGTGGCGACAGGGGTTTGCTGTGTTACCCAGACTGATTTCAAACTCCTGGGCTCAAGCGATCCACCTGCCTTGGCCTCCTAAAGGGCTGGGATTACAGGCGTGAACCACCGTGCCCGGCCTAGACAGTGGATTTAAAAATCAACCAAGTATGGTCCACCTCAGTAAGGGTTCACTGTCCAGCTTGTAGAATGTGAGGGACCTTTGTTTTGATTCTCTTCTTTAATGTTTAGGTAGCTAATTGTGGTGTGAAAGAGACTTATTTTGGTTGATGTTCTGTTCTTTCAACAAGATTCATGTGCCAGCTGTGTATCTGGGACCACGATGGGAAAAGTAACAATATAGTTAAGGAGATAAGACTAATATTTATACATGAACATCTAATATTTTATGTATGATTGTATGTCAGAATATTCAGTACAAACAAGAGACACCAAAGCCTTTCAATATGTCTGTTCTTTCCAGGAATATAACCCTAATTTATTTTTGTCATTGGTCAGAATATTTTTGTAGTTATATAATAGATACCCAAGTGTTTCCTCTGCCTTCAAACTTTATATGCAACTAAATGACATTTTAAAAAATCCACTATGGATTTTAGTTTACTTTAAAAGCATTATAAGATCATTTCTACAAATGTAATCATTTTTTCTTAACTAGAGATTTCTAAATATATTTCTTCCTTACAGTACTTTCCTATTTCATAAGCTTTTTTAGGATGAAAATGTGGAATCTCTTTAATGTCTTTATTCTCTCATTCAAAAGTAATCATTGATTCTAGACACTATATCCATGACAGTGTCAGTGGTTGTCACAGAAGGCAGAGCATGATCTCCTCAGTAGTACTTGCTGTAGGAGGGAGGGAACCAATGTGTGTTTGGAATCTGGCTTCACTGCTTATCACCTATGTGACTTTGGCCAAGTGACCCGCAAACTGAGTGCCCAACAGGTACTGAGTCCCTTTCTATATATTGGTCAAAACCAATTTAAAGGGCCATCCCAAGCGTAATGTAAAGGTTCATCTGAAGATTCAGAGATTCAGGTTCTCTCTCTGTTCTCCCTATATTAGTATTCAATAGGAGTATATGATTCTTGATAATGAACTGTCAGTGCAGAAAGAGTCTTCTTTTCATTAAATAATAACTTTTTGTTGACTTCTCATTCTAATATTTTTTTTCATTGTGTATATGATTAGGGCCTGGCACCTTGATTGTAAAGCTACTTATGAAAAATATCATTGTCCCTGGAATTCCCAGATCTTAAAACAAAACATGACACAACAAAATCTTTATGGATCCTAGAAATATAGTATTTATAACTGACTGTAATTCTTCTTATCAATAAGACTGATGTGTAAATGCAGGAACTAAATTACAGTAGGACTGAGGAAGGAACAATTGTTTGGTATCTTTGTGGATATTCAGTTGCTCATATAAGGATGGGACTGTCTCTAGACTCTCTATTCTGTTCCATTGATGTATTTGTCTTTTCTTATGTCAATAGTGTCTTGATTATTGAAACTGTTGAGCCTTGAAACTGTATATCCAAAAAACATTTATTTAACCTTGTAAACACCGTTCTCAAGATTGACCTATGAAATGCATACCTGGCTTGGTCTGTGTTTGAAGAAAGAAGCTTCTACAACAACTAGAGCTAGCTGTAGAAGTGTTTGTTGTTAACATCACTCTTGCTTTCCACCTGGAAAGGATTATTTCTCCATACTGAGTCCTGTTAGGATGATTCCTCCATGTTCTGAATTGCCAAGGCCAAGGTTAGGTTATTCAGGATCACTTGTTTAGGCTTCTCTGGTTTGGGAAAGAGATTTCCCGGTCTTCACAAGAACCCAAATATGGGATCTGAGGGTCTGTCTAACCAGTTAACTTGATAAGAAACTGCCAGCCCTTTGTCCAAAGTGGTTGTGCCAGTTTCACTCTCACCAAGAGTGAGTATATGTGTACTCCACATCCTCACCATTATTTGGTGGCATCAGTCGTTTTCATTTTAGCCATTCTTCTTCTTCTTCTTTTTCTTTTTTTTTTTTTTTCTTTTTGAAACAGAGTCTCACTCCGTCACCCCGGCTGGAATGCAGTAGCGTAATCTAGCGTAATCTCAGCTCACTGAACCTCCGCCTCCTGAGTTCAAGCAGTTTTGCCTCAGCCATCTGAGTAGCTAGAATTACAGGTTACAAGCATGAATCACCATGCTCGAGTAATTTTTGTATTTTTAGTAGAGACAGGTTTCACCATGTTGGCCAGGCTGGTCTCAAACTCCTGGCCTCAAGTGTTCCACCCACCTCAGCCTCCCAAAGTGCTAGTGTCTTGTTGCAGCTTTAATTTGCCTTTCCCTGATGATTAGTGATTTGAGCACTTTTTCTTGGGCTTATTGGCCATTCCTTATATCCTTCTCTGTGAAGTGCCCGTTCTAGTCGTTTGCTCATTTTTAAATTGTTTGCATTTTTATTACAGACTTGTAGGAGTTATATATATATTATGGATACAAGTTCTTTATTAGATATATGTTTTGAGAATATTTTTTCACAAATTGTGGCTTATCCATGTATTTCTCTACAGGTAACTTTAGTGAGCAGAAGTTTTTACTGTTGATGGTGTCCAATTTATCCATTTTTTTCCTTTATAATTACTCCTCGTGTCTTGTCTAAGAAATCTCTGCCAGGCCAGGCACAGTGGCTCACGCCTGTAATCCCAGCACTTTGGGAGGCCAAGACAAGAGGATCACCTGGGGTTAGGAGTTTGAGACCAGCCTGGTCAACATAGTGAAACACCTGTCTCTACTAAAAATATAAAAATTAGCCAGACGTGGTACCACATGCCTGTAATCTCAGCTACTTGGGAGGCTGAGGCAGGAGAATTTCTAGAACCTGGGAGGCAGAGGTTGCAGTGAGCCAAGATTGCGCCACTGCACTCCAGCCCAGGTGGCGTAGTGAGACTCCGTCTGAAAAAAAAAAAAAAAAGAAATATCTGCCTTCTCCAAGGTCACAGAGATGTCTTCGATCTTTTTTCTGAAAGTTCTGTAGTCTTCCCTTTTACATTGAGGCCAGTCGTTCATCTCTAATTGTTTTTTGTGTACAGTGTGAGGTAGGGGTCAAGATTTATTGTTCCCCCATAAGGCTATCCAGTTTCAGTACCGTTTGTTGAAAGATTTATCTTTTTTTATTATTTGGTTTATTTGTGGTTATTCAATTACTCATGTAAGGGTGGGACTGTCTCTAGACTCTATTCTGTTCCAATGATCTATTTGTCTGTTCTTACGCCATAGTGTCTTGATTATTGAAACCGTACAGAGAGCTTGAAATTAGGCAACCTAAGCCTTCCGACATTGTTCTTTTTCAACATTGTGTTTCTTCCTGAAGACTCTAATCTCGTCTCTGGTTTCCCATGCAGCCATCCAGGCAGAGGTCAGAGTCTCCACATTTTGGCAGAAATCTTTAGTAGAGGCAGGTGCAGTGGTACACACCTGTAGTCCCAGCTTGAGCCCTGGAATTCAAGGCTGTAATGTGCTATGATTGCACCTGTGAATAGCCACTGCACTCCAGCCTGGGCAACATAGCAAGACCCCATCTCCAATTTTTAAAAAAATCTTTAGTGTAAAGGCCAGGTTTGGTACTCATTCACTTCATAAATGTCCTTCTTCCACTGTCTTGATTTCTGCAGATTCTTTATATATAATACTCAACATTTGTTTAAAGGTGTTCTAAAAATATTTTATCCAGCTTTTCTCTTAAGATAGTAGTTCAGGGTTATCTAGTGTGTCATGCTGCCGTTAACAGAAGACAGTTGGAGTAATTTTTTTTTCTCATTTACATTTATCTATATCTTTAAAAATTGCTACAATAATGCATGTTAATTGAGTAATTCAAAAGAACCAGTAATGATAATTACAAAATTTAGTAACTGTTTTATTGGTTTTGAATCCTTCAGACTGCTGGAATATCCCAATCCTGTGGCTAATTCAAATTATGGCCCAGAATTGTCATTCCCTCTAAAATATCATCTGCCAGAGAGTATATGGGCCCCAAACATTTTGACCTTCACAGCGTTAATATTTAATGAATGTTGCCGAAGGCAGGTACTTCATGCGGTGTTGCAACTTGTCCCCTTTCAGGAATGGTCTGCCGAAAACCGACCGACCCAGTTGATTGGCCGCCACTTGTCCTGGGACTGCTCACTCTGCTGAAGCAGTTCCATTCCCGGTACACCGAGCAGTTCCTGGCGCTGATCGGCCAGTTTATCTGCTCCACGGTGGAGCAGTGTACAAGGTACAGAAGACCAACCAGGACTACGTGGACTTCTTGTCACAAAACCTAACTTAAACCTCGTATTGCCAAATTCCTCTTCTTATCGCCCTAATAGAGGTGGGAAATGGTTGCTCACCCTTGTCTATAAAGCAAGTCAGGGCACACCTCCTTGTTTAGAGCAATGACGGGTGTGCCCATCCTTAGTCACCCTGCCAGGGGAACTCCGTCAGGTCTACTCACAGTGATTTTCCAGGAGTGACTCAGGACCGTGATTAGTAATTACCATGGGGAAGAAAGTGCAGCCGTGTTCCTCTGCACTCTTGGATGCAGCTCTTCGATCTCGGCAAGCCCCTGCACTCCTGCCGGACCACTGCCAAGAGATGATTCCACTCACTTCAGTGGGAGTCAGAAGACATGTCAGTGTGTCAAAGCCTGGGCAGTGTCTGCGTGTAGAGAAGCAAATTTCACAGGAGTTGCTATTTGATACGGTGCTTATAAAGCTTTAATTCCTGCCAGTTCTTTTCCCCTGCCCCTAAATGTGGGTTTTCTGGGATAAAGAAAAAAAGTTATTTCCCTGAGATGCTGGGTCCTGCGCCTCCTTCTCTCTATCCTAAAGCGTCAGCCTGGCTAAATAACCTTTGCTGTCATGTCTGCTTGGTCATTTTTGCCACTATAATGTAAAAAACAAATCAAAGCGGCTGGGCATGGTGTGGCTCAAGCCTGTAATCCCAGCACTTTGGGAGACTGAGGCGGGCAGATTACTTGAGGTCAGGAGTTCAAGACCAGCCTGGCCAACCTGGTGAAACCCCATCTCTATTAAAAAAAAACACACAAAAATTAGCCAGGCATGGTGGTGGCCACCTGTAATCCCAGCTACTCAGGAGGCTGAGGCAGGAGAATCACTTGAACCCTGAAGGCCTTAGAGATTGCAGTGAGCCAAGATCGCACCATTGCACTCCAGCCTGGGTGACAGAGCAAGACTTCATCTCAAAAAAAAAATAAAGCAAACCAAAGCGATCTTCTAAGTGCACACAAAATACTACTGACTCCTAAAAAAGTGTGGGACCTGCTAGGTGTTGAATCATGTCAACAGAGGGAGATGAGTCTGAACAGATAGCAGGGATCGTGTTGTAGGTGCCCATGGAAACGATATAGAGAAGCTCACATTTACCCTATAGGGTAGGCCCCTGAAAAGATGTGAGCAAGGTGACAACTTGACAGGAATCAAGAGCATGCTCAATGTTTTTGTTCATCTTTGACTTCATTAGGTAATCTGTTGGTAATTTAGTCTTTCAGGATTCTGACCAAGGACTTACGATGTGCAAAGCAGTTAATTGATCTAAACTGTTGTCTATTATAGCCAGAAGATACCTGAGATTCCTGCAGATGTTGTAGGAGCCCTTCTGTTCCTGGAGGATTATGTTCGGTACACAAAGCTACCCAGGAGGGTAAGTGATAGATAGTAAAGAACAACATTAATGACCGAGTTGTAAAAAGATGCTAATAATAGTGGCCCTGGACTCATCAGGAGTGAAGTCCAGTAGGTCATTCACAGCAGGTGCCTCTGCACCTCTCCACTGCTCTGCCACCAGCTCTGAAATGTCCCTGCTTTTTCCACCATGGGAAGTGCCTTGCAGAGTTTAACACAATGCCCCTCCCACCTCTTCTTCCTCTCCACCATGTACTCCTGTCAGCAACTCACCTGGTTCAGGAGTTAAGTGAAATGGGCAAGCCAGGAGACAATTCCTTAAGTGGCCAGAGGAAAGAAATAATCATGGTGGTTTGTTCTTTCTCTCTCCACTGACCTGGTTCCCACAGCAAGTACAGTTAAGTGCATGCCACAACTAAATGTAGATATGAACACTGTTTCCAAAAATGACAGACTACTTTTCACCTACTAAGACACTCTTTCCTCTCCCTTTCTCACTAGTAATTCCACTTTGTTAAGTTTTAGCTCAAAGTGGACAGCTCGATATTGAAAAATAAAAGACTTTCAATAGATACTAAAAATCCTTTGATTTTTAGAAATTAGTAGGTTAGTATTCAAATATACTTTCTTACAACACAAGCCAAAGATGAACTTTTAAAATTAACTAGCAGTGTCAGTACGTAATAGTGAAATGTTAGTGGCATTTCCATTAAAGCCAGGACCGCCACAGTGTCATGACAGCTATACAGACTCTTGCAACTACTTTTGTTATACAGGTGCAAGACAATAAGAAATGAAATGAAAATAAAATGCCTATTGGAAAGAAGACAAACTCTGTATTATTTGAGATTAATTGTCTTCCCTTTTTATTTTTCCATAAGTTCTTGGGATACAGATGGTATTTGGTTACATGAGTAGGTTCTTTAGTGGTGACTTGTGAGATTTTGATGCACCCATCACCTGAGCAGTATCCACTGCTCCGTATTTGTAGTCTTTTATCCCTCACCCCCCTCCCATTCTTGCCCCCAAATCCCCAAAGTCCATTGTATCATTCTTATGCCTTTGCATCCTCATAGCTTGGCTCTCACGTATCAGTGAGAACATACGATGTTTGGTTTTCCATTCCTGAGTTACTTCACTTGTAAGAATAATCTCCAGTCTCATCCAGGTCACTGCAAATGCTGTTAATTCATTTTATGGCTGCGTAGTATTCCACCGTATGTATATACCACAATTTCTTTATCCACTCGTTGATTGATGGGCATTTGGGTTGGTTCTACGATTTTGCAATTGTAAATTGTACTGCTGTAAACATGCATGTGCAGGTATCTTTTTTGAATAATGACTTCTTTTCCTCTGGGTAGTTACCCAGTACTGGGATTTCTGGATAACTGTCTTCCTTGAATACCCAATAGAATCATGTGAAAAACTGTTAAAATAATACAGAGATCAGAAAACAAGCTGGCTACAGAATAAATGTATGAAATAAATACACTAATCAATCAAAAAATACAGTGTGAAAAAGGACCTATTCACAGAAATAACAGGGAAATAATATAGCTAAGAATAACCTCTACAAGAAATATGAAAGAGCACTTTATTAAAAAACTATAAAACTTTCAAATATAAAATTTGAAAGTCCGTATTTCTGAATGAGGGTCCTCGAATATTACAGCGATAACAGTTCTTTCTAGTTTATAGGTTTACTGCAGTTACAACTGAGATTTCAGGTACTTTTTTAACTTCAAAAAATATATTTTTTAAAATGTCATAGAACTTAAGCAAGTACTTTTTAAAAAAAAGATATTAAAACATATCAAGTATTAAGACATTATAAAACTATAGAAACCAAAATAGGATGGTACTGGTATGCAACTCAATAGAAGGAACAATGAACAAGAATATGTAGCGTAGAAACAAACCCTGTGCATACAATGGTACTTGAGGAAAAGTAGCATCTCAAATTAAGGGAGAAAGGGAATATTAGTCCATAGATGTAAGTTCACACAGTTAAAAAATAGCAGCTTCATCCCCTTTACATCTTCTGTGTTATCAAAATTAATTACAGATAAAGCGTTAGTGTGAAATATGAAACAAATAAATTAGCTGAAAAATTAGGCAAATATGTATCAGCTCTCAGAACTTCCTAAACATAAAACCAAAAGAAGAAACTTAAGAAACAGATTTAGAGATTTGATTTTTTATAAATGCTGAATATAGTTAAACAATTCTGTGTCAGTGTCTCTTAATTAAAAAACAAAAGAGGAAATACTAACAAAGGACGAGTTTCCTTGATTTATAGTGTGCTCTTCAAATCTTCAAGTTCAGTAAGAAAACGATGTTCACGCTGATAGAAAAAAAGCAGGGGAAGGGCAAAGGATATTAATAGGCAGTTTTCAAGAAATAGAAATGATAGACCTTTGGATTCAAAGGACAAAAATCCAAAGAAAAGGAAAATTACTATTTCCACTTATCAGGTTGGTGAAAAGTGAAATGTTGGGCCCCCATTATTCGGAAGCATTTGGAGAAATGGGACTCCTCAGTGCTGTTAATTGGAATGTAAAATAACAGCGTTTGAGGAGGGCAATTTAGCTTTATCTATTTTTAAAAACATTTGTAATATACTTACCGTGATCCCAGCAATTCCACTGCTAGGAATTTTACCTGCTGGATATATGTGCAAAAGTTCACCAAGATACGTGCACAAGGATGTTCATAATATAAGATTTAGCAGAGGTAAAGAAGGACACAATACTATATGATCCTAATTTTGAGTGTGTATATGTGTGTGTGTAAGTAAACTGGAAGAATTCAGTACAAAAGTTACCAGTTTTTATTTTCTCTAAGAGATTAAGATTTTAAAATGTTTTTAAATTTTAAGCTCTGGGCTACACGTGTGGAACGTGCAGGTTTGTTACATAGGTATTATACATGTGCCATCTGTCACCCAGGCTGGAGTGCAGTGGCGAGATCTCGTCTCACTGCAACCTCCACCTCCCTGGTTCAAGCGATTCTTCTGCCTCAGCCTCCTGAGTAGCTGAGATTATAGGTGTGTGCCACCATGTCCAGCTAATTTTTTTATTTTCACTAGAGATGGGGTTTCTCCATGTTGGTCAGGCTGGTCTTGAACTCCTGACCTCGTGATCTGCCTACCTTAGCCTCCCAAAGTGCCGGGATTACAGGCATGAGCCACCACACCCAGCCTAGGTTTTAAGCCCCGCATGTATTAGGTATTTATACTAATGCTCTCCCTCCCCTTGCCCCCCACCCCCTGTAAAATTAATTTTTATAGTCTTCTGCATTTGCAAAATTTCCTCTCATTAGCAGGCGATACCTTTTTGATCAGAAAAAAAATTAAACACTGCTTCTAAAAAATACTCATCTCCAGCACTTGGAGATCACCTACCTCCACATTCTACCCAACTCAGCCCAATTTATTCTTCTCAGGGCTTTGCCTAAGAACAGTTCAGGAATGTATGCCTCTGAGGGCCTTCCTGCTCTTCCCCTTCTGGCCTTGGTTTCTCATTCTCATTCCTGCCCTCCCCTACCTCTCCATTCCCGTCACTTGCCAGCCATCCTGGTTTTCCTTTGTTGGTCATCAGTTAATAAAGTGTGTTAGGTGACCTGAGTACTTGTCAGTACTTCCCAGAGGCATGAACATTCCTCGCAGATCAAGGTGCCTTTAAGAGCCAAGGAGCTCACGTTTGGAGGTGGGAGAGCTGTACTGCGTCCCCTCAAATGTTAGCAGTGCCAAGAAATGAGACTGTCGTCCAGAGGGCACCAGAAACAGAAAGGGGCTGTTTCAAGGCGTTGTCCGCCCATGGGAGTCTCCTCTTCCGTTATTGACCTTGCTCCAAGGATACCTTCTCTTTTTTGCGTGAAAATTTTCAATTTGTTCAACTATAACACCATGAATAACTTAATGCTTTAATTTTTCAGGTTGCTGAAGCACATGTGCCTAATTTCATTTTTGATGAGTTCAGAACAGTGCTATAACTGTTTTTTCCTACTTCTTCAATGGAAGGATTGTCCTTAGATCTTCCCATCATCACTAAAATGAATTTGAAAATGAAAAGAAACTCAGTTGTTCATATAACTGCATTTTTTGCTCTCCATTATGGGAAACTTCAGACGTTCTGGGTAAGATATATCTCATGGCATTAGTTAATATAACTGATAGTGTTTAAATCATGGTATTACATGCAATTTATATCATGTAAAAAGCAGAACACATTTTTGTACTGCCTCTCATAAATGCCGAATGTAACTGTTATGTATCAATCCATTTAGTTTTATGTTCTAAAGAACTATTTGTGCAACTCCAGATTTTCAGTAAAATAGTATTGCCAGTACCCAAAGTCGTCTCTCCTTATGATTCAAAAATTATATATTCACCCTGTAAAAAACCCTGTTTGGAAGGTAAGAGATGACTCTGCTCGATATATTAGCTCACCCCCAACAAGCTGGCAGGCACATGGTGATAGCCAGACGAGTAGCAAATGGAGTGGCCACACAATGTGTGTCATGTACCATGGGAGTTTCTTGGTGTCTCACCATCCTCTTCCAATCCCAGATGCCCTGGGGGTCCACAGCATTCCTTCTGTAGGACTCTTAACAAAGCTGCTCCTTCCAGTATCTTCCTCAGCAACCTAAGTCCTGCCCCAAGTCCCCATAACTATGTCATTATCCGCAGTCCTTTTTGGTAATAGTCTTGCCATAAGCTTAACTCCCTCGAAATCCTAAATCATTTCTGCATGAAAATTACCCTGAAAAGGAAGCTGCCTGCTAGTCTGTTCTCACACTGATATGAAGGAATATGGGTGGGGACACAGAGCCACACCGTATCACTGCCATCCTACTGTGGCAACTTGAACATCAACAACTTGGATGAGAGCAAGAACGATGTTTCCACCCTGAATCTCTATGGTTATGTCCTCCTCTGGAAAGGAAGGAACGAACCAAACCAAACCCAGAAGCCAAAATCTGTTTGACAGTCATTTTGCTAGTGGTGGGGGAAGATGCATTGATTTGTAGTCAGGAGGCAAAGTTTGAGTCCTGGTTCTGCCACAAGCTACACCTTGTCCCAACCCAGCCCACTGGCATCATCTGTAAAATTAGGACTAAAGGATTTCTCAGGTTCCTTCAGTTTTCTCATTTTATGATGTTATTTCTTTTGTCTGAAGGCCTCAAATTCTGATATTGAAGGGAAGACTTGATAGGCTTTGATTATTTCACTATCATAGTAGAAAGGATTTTCAAGGAGTCTCAATGGAGAACAAGGGTAGCCTCTAATCCTGGGCATGAGGGCATCGAGGCCAGGGCAGAATTTTAAGTGAACTGTTGCTTGGTATGTAGGGAGCTTGGAAGTCTCACCACCTGCAAAGATTGTGTGTGGGAACATCTGTATCTCAAAGATACCTTGTTCTTTTTCATTTGTAATCTTGTTAACAATAACCACATGAAGTGAGATCTTTAGTTCTCTGAAAAGAAAGCTAACTGCTAAAAAGGCCAGATCTGGGAAAGTGAGTTTTTAACCAGAAAATAGAAGTTTAGGGTCAGTTAGATGGGAATCTTATGAAACCACGCAAATGGGTCCACCATATACTCTGCTAAAACAAGGCTTGCTAGTGATTTGGCCAGTATTTTTCTCAACTGAAAGAACTTAAAAATTGAAATTTTTATTGTAAAAGCTTTATAAGTTATTTTAGCCCTGTTAGAATCTCAAGTAGTAACTTAATTTGCCAGGTTATATTTTACTGCTCTTTCAGAAGTAACAATTTACTTTCATGATATTTGGAGATTTACTGAACTTTTATGATACCCTTTGAACGTCCATAGTCTCTTCAAATTTACTGTAGATAAACCCAGTCAATTCTAATGGATTTTAAGGTATTATACTGGGTATTACAAGTGCTTATTTGTTCACTGTTTCTTGATGTCATTCTGGCCTGGTTTATAAATGTTATACAGTGGAACTTATAAAGCCCTTGATTGTCCTTCCTGTCAGAATCTGATATTTTTAGAGAACTCAGCAAAGAACCTTTCAGTTCAAATCTGAGTCACAGCCCCAAAATAATATAAATAAGTAATTTTTTTTAAAGAAAATAACCTTATCAAATTGCTTCACTAGAGAGATGAGGAAATCAAGGTGAAGACATTAAGGCAACTTCCCCAGTTATTTAATAGAACAGGTTTCCCTCTGCACTTTTCATCCCACTTTGGTTTTTTTTTTTTTTCATTATCATGAAGCTATGTAAATGAGCCCACAACAAGAAACAAAAAGACATGAAAGTTCATTCTTCATTTTATTTTCATGTCCCAACAACTCATCTCAAATACTAAATTCAAAAGAAAAACTGTAGTTCTCCTCAGTATTAGCACTAATTTATGGTAAACAATCATTTCTTTTAAATATCTAACTTGTTTTACCCTTCATTTTGCAAATTAAAGCATGTATTTACATATTTATATACAAAAAACTTCAAAAACAAATTAATCCAAATCTGGGTCCAAGAGTTTCCACTTTAGAAGTGGTATGGTGCTATGCTATACACCTCCTCTTCCAGAAGTCTCTTAGGACTTGGTAAGTTCCAAATATTCATTCACAAATCGTTCCCCTTTAAGCTTAATGAACCATATACTTCATTTCTGAGTAAATGAGAGGAAATATTACAGAACACGCTTTGTACAAAACAGCACCACTACTGAGAAGAGCTCGAGGTTTTGTCATCCAAGGTTCCGACTTAAAGCAAAAATATATAGCATAGACTGCAACAGCAAAGAAATGTCCAATTAAAACCAGAGGGTTAGGAGACAATCTGTAATAGAAAAAAAAATACATATTGGTAAGACTCAGAAACTAAAATTTACTCCAAAGATTCCAATTACATATAATCTGTAAAGCTCAACAAACAGCCTACGTTTTTTCACCCAAGCACCATAATTCTGTATCAAACATTCTGTATTTTAGAGGACTTCACAAACATGTCTGCATGTTAAGTTTGATGGCAGGAGCAAACTCCCCTGCCCTTTTTTTAAAAAATATATAAGAAAAAATACTTAGACTATATCCCTTTCAGAGAAGCCAGTTAACTCCTGTAACTCTAGTTTACATAAGTCCTATATTTTTGGCTGTTTTGTTTACTCATCCTGAGATACCATGCTAAAATACCTAGATGGCCTGGTCTGTTGGGATGTAGGGCTTTTAAATATCAGTATTAACATTCAGATTATAGACTAATGAGAAATGACTCAAAGGATCACTTTGCAGATGAGAAATAACTCGAAAGATTTCACTTTGTAGACTTTCCAGGAATAGCTCCACATATGTCTGTATGTTCAAAACTAATATGGGGTTGTATAAGTCCCTGTACTTCAATGAAACTAATTTCTCAATTAAAATTTCTCAATTATTCCTGGCTCCCAGAGACCAGAACATATGGATAAATCCATAGGCAAAAAACAAGCTTCTATTTTAATCAAGGGTTACAGCTTCCTCTACCACCACCTTAAACTGCTGTTCCCAGAAAGAAAACAGCACTAAATATTGCCTTTCTTCATTTCTTTGGGCCACCTTCTCATTCGGATACTAATAGATAATAAAATATCAAAATGTGTAAGGAAGAAAGATTTGCAGTAATTCATCAACTGAACAGTCCTAAGAAAATCTGGCAGATTTGTATCCTCTGTGCCATCACAACTTACACAGAAAGCAGCCCAACAGGACCCGCAACACATTCACCACCAAGTTTGAAATAAAGGAAACAGGCTTTTCTTAGTTGATGCAGGGAATCTAAAATAAAATTGTAAAAATAATCAAATATGTGTACACACTTATGTAGGATCCTAATGATATATCAGAAAAAATGAGAACAAACGCTACATCTTGCAGATAATTTTTAAATATCTAGTCCTAGAATTTCAACTACCAGGATTTCTTTTAAATTCCATAATCAGCATTATGGAGAGTAATAAAAATATGAATAAACTTCTTTCTGTTAGTAAATAATTACTAATATTTAGGTCTTGGAAGAGTCGTTTAAAAGGTACTTCCTTGATTTTGCTGTTAATTCATTAAGTGATGCAAAATACTTTGGAAGCTCTTTTTAACACAATTCTAGAAACCAGATTCCCAGTCTCTAAGATGCCCAACCAGTATCTCTAAGCAGTAAATTATCAAGTGAAAAGAAGAGCTGTGAGTAGCGATAAATAGTAATTCCTTATATCTATAAAGTTTTTATACCTTTCAAAGTAACTCATAAAACCCTCACAATATCGTATAATCAATTGATAACCTTTTTAACCATTTAGAATCAATGTTCTGTTCAGGTATGCCTAGATTTTTCTTTACAACAGATTTTTAAAAAGTAAAGGATGCAACAGGTAAACTTTTGCTCCAATAAAGGTCTTTCCTCCTCCAATCTTGTAACTTTTAAAAAATGTTTTGTTGGTAGATTCAAATTCATAATGTAAGAACTCAAGAAGTCAGAAAAGCTTAGAAAGAAGAGCTCAGAAAAACTCTAAATTTAGTTCTTTTTATTTGCCCAAAACTCTAAACTTAGTTCTTTTCTTTTTATTTGCCCCAAACTCTAAACTTAGTTACTTTCATTTGCCCAACCAGCCATTTTAACTTCTATGCCAATTTAGCAAGAGAAATTTGTTTGGAAAAATCACAACCAGTGAGACTGGTGGTTTTGTGGGGGTTTTTTTGGTTATTGTTCTTTTTTCCTTAGGAAGAGTTAATGGTTATAGAAGCTACAGAAAGCATTTTTATACTGTATCATCTTTTGTAATTATAACCACAGCACTTACCACTAGGGCCTTGTATGATCTATACAAATAGCTATGCTGCAGATATACTAGAGTAATGGCATTTGAGTCAATATTTATTCTTCAAAACTGAAAAGCCTAGTTTCATTAACCTACTATTAAACTGATGTGTACACTGCTGTGGTGAGGAGGTGGCACAGTTGCCTTTTCTCCTCCATTTCTTTTAATTTTTTGTTTGTTTGTTTTATTTAGAAGATGGAGTCTCACTCTGTTGCCCAGGCTGTGTGCAGTGGCACTTCATATAGCTCCCTGTATTTAGCTCACTGTATATAGCTCACTGTAGCCTTAAACTCCTGGCCCTAAGTGATCCTCCCACCCTGCCTCCCAAATAGCTGGGACTACAGGCACACGCCACCATGCCTTGCTAATCTTTTAATTTTTTGTAGAGATGGGGTCTTGCTTTATTGTCCAGGTTGGTGTGAAACTCCTGGCTTTAAGCGATCCTCCTGCCTTGGCCTCCTAAAGTGCTGGGATTATAGGCATGAATCATCTCGCCTGGCCTCTTTTCCTCCATTTCTAACACTGCTTCTGCTAAGTTGTGTTTTCTATAATATATACATTGACCATGACCTCTCTATAATATGGAAACAGAAACAAAAGCACCAAAATAGTCCAAATAAGTAAAGGGTGAACGCATTGTTACTTGTGCTTTTTAACAGGGACAAGATTAACAGCTCGTATTCATTTTATAAAATACTACGTTAAAAAGAAATTGAAACTAGTGTTAGGAAGAAAAAGACTATTGCCTTTTAATACATGGCCAAAAACACCTTCCATCACAATCTTGTGTGTGTGGGGACATGAATGATCTAGTCTGCACCAGAGGAATTCAAAATAATGAATATGTTACTGAGGCAATACTATTAATGTTGTCTAAGGAAATTCCACTGCCTTCCAAACTAAAACTAAAGTTTCCCTTCCAAACTAAAACTAAAACTGTTGCTCAAAATGGAATTTTTTAAAAAACTACCAACTTGGGAGTTAGCAAACTCAGGTAACATCTTTATTTCTGGACAAATCACTAACTTTTTTATTCCTTTCCTATGCTAAAAATCTGCAATTGAGAAATACTCACTAAAAAGTGCTACACTTACCATCTGTGGCAGAAAATAATTCATAAAGAGCCTGAGCAAGAATATTCACGACAAAGGAATGAGATGCTTTTCTTTCCCAGTAAAATGATTTTTTGGCCTAAAAAAGAAATAGCTCATTTATTATATGGCAAGGATAAAAAAGCACAAACTGATGTTTATAATCCCCTCAAACTGACATTTATCCTTCTAAGGACTATCTGCAAGTAATGTTGCCTTATGTTTATCATTCACAAAAAAAAAAAAAAAAAAATCACCTTCAGAGCAATGGGTTATATGCCACTGAAGCTAAATTTACAGCCACTATAAGCTAAGTGGCCCATAGCAATCCAGTGTTACATAATATTCAAATTTAGAAATTCTCTATGATTCGCAGGTTGCATGTCAGATTCTTCAAGCCTAAGCAAGATGCCTAAGAGCTATTATAAAACTCAGGTTCCTTAGTACAGATCTCCCCATCAGAGCCCCACTGCTCTTAACCCTCAGAAATAAACCCATTTTGAGACATTTTTGTCAAAATAATTGATCTTACCTCAAAAATAGCTGCATCATCATAAAGGTCAGGGATGCCCTTTAGCAGTTTTCTCCATAGTTTTATATCTTTAAAAGCAACAGTCATTCCTCCACCAGTAAGTGGATGCCTCATATTGTATGCGTCTCCCAAAAGAAGAACACCTATGAAGAGAGGTAATGAAGATTTTATCTTAGAGCATCACTTGAGACAAAAAGAAAGACAACTCAATGTATAAAGATTACTGATGTAAGCTACTAATAAGAAAAATGTGAAAATACATGGAAACAAATCATGATTAAAATTTGCTGAGGCAAAAATTCAAGAGTTGTTTGAATCAATATTGGGTACCTAATAGGTGGCCAGGCACTAGGGATACAGTAATAACAAGAGTGTGGTCTCTGCCCTCATGAAACTCATATACACACCTAATGACAAGTCCAACAATGTCAGTACATTTATAAGGCTGCCTTAAAATTAAAATATGAAGAAAATAAAAAGAATCTACAGGTATCCAGGCATCTACAGGTATCCAGGCATAAAAAGCAAGTCCTCTGGCGATCATCCCCCTCCCACACAGGAACACTAAAATGAACAACTGTCCACAAAGGAAAGCACCTTCATAAGAACCAAAAATCAGCCTGGGTACCAGCTTGGCCAGTGGTACCCAGGGGTACCCAGAGCACCAAGGGGGTTCCTGGGATCCCTCATTCCAGGTCTGGGCACGTGGACAGCATTTTTGGATCCATCCTGGGTGAGAGGGGAGCCCATTGTCCTGAAGGGAGAGACCCAGGACTAGCGGCATTCACCACCAGCTGACTGAAGATCCCTGGAGCCTTGAGTGAACACCAGACGCAGCCAGGCAGTACCCACTGCAGGCCTGGGGCAGTGGTGGCCAAGGGGAGAGGCTCCTGCTTGAGGAAAGGAGAGGGAAGAGTGGGAAGGAATATGTCTCGAGGTTTGGGTGCCAGCTCAGCTACAGTAGAATAGAGCACTAAGTAGATTCCTAAGGTTCCCAACTCCAGGCCCTGGCTCCTAGACGCCATTTCTGGACCAGTCCTGGGCCCCCAGGAGCTCACTGCCCTCAAGGGAAAGGCACAAGCCTGGCTGGATTTGTACTGACTGTAGTCTTGAGGGAACATCAGCGGTGACCAGGCAGTCATCGCCACATGCCTGGCGCAATACCCAGTGTTGTACTGGCTTCAGGTCTGACTCGGCACAGGCCAGTGGTGGTGGCCACAGGCATACTTGTGTCACCCCTCCCCCCACCAGTTCCAAGCAGCTCAGCACAAAAGGACAGACTCTGTGTTTGAGGGAAAATAAGGGAAGAGAACCAAGAGTTCTTTTCCTGGTAATCCAGGGAATTCTCCCAGATATTACCCAAGACCACGAAGGCAGTACCTCTACGAGTCCGCAAGGGTCACAATGTTAATGGACTTGGGGTGCCCCCTAATGCAGATACGACTGCTATGTCCAAAGACTTAGATCACAACACTCACTTCCCTTTGAAAACTTAGAAAGCCTTCCCAAGAAGGATGGGTACAAACAAGCCCAGACTCCGAAGACCACAATAAATACCTAACTTCTCAATGCCCAGACATTGACGAACATCCACAGGCATCAAGACCATCCAGGAAAACATAAACTCACTAAATTAACTCTGATAAATAAGGCACCAGTGACCAATCCTAGAGTAACAGAGACGTGAGCTTTTAGAGAATTCAAAATAGTTGTTTTGAAGAAGCTCAACAAAATTCAAGATAACACAGAGAAGGAACTCAGAATGCTATCAGATAAATTTAACGAAACAACTGAAATTAAAAAGAAGCAGAAATTCTGGAGATAAAAAATTCAATTAACATACTGAAGAACACGGCAGAATCTCAACAGCAGAACTGATCAAGCAGACGAAAGAATTAGTAAGCTTGAAAACAGGCTATTTGAAAATACACAGAGGAGACAAAAGAAAAAAGAATAATCAAGAATGAGGCACACCTACAAGATCTAGAAAATAGCTTCAAAAGAGCAGATCTAAGTTCTTGGCCTTTAAAAGGAGGTAGAAAGATCAGGGTAGAAAGTTTATTCGAAGAAAAAATAACAGAGAACTTCCCAAATCTGGAGAAAGATACCAATATTTAAGCACAAGGCTACAGAACACCAAGCAAGGATTGGTGATTGATTTAATTCAAACAAGACTAGCTCAAGCCATTTAATAACCAAACTCCCAAAGGTCAAGGATAAAAAAAAAGATCCTAAAAGCAGCAAGAGAAAGGAAACAACAAACAATGGAGCTCTAGAGCAAAAGATCCTCCCACCCTGCCTCCCAAATAGCTGGGACTACAGGCACACGCCACCATGCCTTGCTCATCTTTTAATTTTTTGTAGAGATGGGCTCTTGCTTTATTGTCCAGGTTGGTGTGAAACTCCTAGCTTAGTATGTCTGGCAGTACATAGTATCATTGTGCTTTTGTATGTTTCCTATGGAAACATACAGTATGTCTGGCAGCAGACTTAGTGGAAATCTGACAGGCCAGGAGTGAGGTGCAAGACACACTGAAAGTGCTAAAGGAAAAGAACTTTTATCCTAGAATAGTATATCCAGAGAAAATATCCTTCAAACATGAAGAAGAAATAAAGACTTTCCCAGACAAACAAAAGTCGAGGGACTTAATCAACACCAGACCTTTCCCACAAGAAATGCTGAAGTGAGTTATTCAATATGAAAGAAAAGGACATTAACGAGCAGTAAGCAATTACATGAAGGTACAAAACTCACAAAAGTTAAAAAGCAAGGGGGATAAAGTTAAAGTGTAGAGTTTTTATTAGTTTGCTTGTTTGTGGAATCAGTTGTCATCAGTTTAAAATAATGGGTTATAAGATATGATCTGCAAGTTTCATGGTAATTTCAAATCAAAAGCCTACAAGAGATAGGCAAAAAAATTAAAAGTAAGAAATTAAAACATACTACCAGAGAAAATTACCTTCACAAAAAGGAAACAGGAAGGAAGAAAAGACAGCAAAACAACCAGAAAACAAATAACAAAATGGCGATAGTAAGTATGTACTTACCAATAGTAACATTCAATGTAAATGGACTAAACTCTTCACTCAAAAGGCATAAAGTGGCTTAATGGATTTTAAAAAAGAACCAACGATCTGTTGCCTAAAATAAACACACTTCACCTATAAAGACACACAGACTGAAAATGAAGGGATGGAAAAAGATATTCCATGCAAATGGAAACCAAAAAACAGCAGTAATGATACTTACATCAGTAAAATAGATTTCAAGACAAAAACTATAAAAAGAGGCAAAGAAGGTCATTATATAATGATGAAGGGGTCAATTCAGCAAGAGGATGTAACAATTATATATGCATCCAATACCAGAGCACTCAGACATATAAAGGAAATATTATTAGAACTAAGGAGATAGACTCCAATAGAATCATGGCTGGAGACTTCAACACACCACCTTCAGCACTGAATAGATCATCCAGACAGATAAACAACAAAGAAACACCAGACTTAATCTGGACTACAGGCCAAAGAGACCTAACAAATATTCACAGAACATTTCATCCAAAAACTACAGAATACACATTCTTCTCCTCAGCAAATGGATCATTCTCAAGGATAGGTCATGGGTAGGCCACAAAACAAGACTTAAAAAATTCAAAAATCAATTGAAATCATATCAAGTATCTTCTCTGACCACAATGGAATCAAACTAGAAATCAGTAATATGAGGAACTTTGGAGACTATGCAAACACATGGAAATTAAACCATATGTTCTTGAATGACCAGTGGGTCAATGAAGAAATTAAGAAGTAAATACAAAAATTTCTTGATAGAAATAAAAATGGAAAGACAACATATAAAACCTGTGAGACACAGCAAAAGCAATACTTAAAGGGAAAGTTTATAGCAGTAAGGGCCTACATCAAAAAAGCCGGAAAACGTCAAATAAACAACCTAACAGTGCATCTTAACCAGAAAAGCAAGAGCAAACCAAACCCCAAATTAGTAGAAAATAATAAAGATCAGAGCCAAAATAAATGAAATGAAAAAAATACTAAAGATAACAAAATGAAAAGTTGGTTCTTTGAAAACATAAAATCAGCAAACCTTTAAGACAAACTAAGAAAAAAGAAAGAAAACCCAATTAACTCCTTTTCCTATTCCTATGTCAGCAAATGGCTGGCAAAACTATCTACGCCAGAAACCTGGAATTTACATCAAGAGATTTCACTCTCTTATTACTATATCCAAATCATCACTAGGGATGTTCTGTACATTCTACATCCTAGATATTACCCAAATTTATTCATTACCTTTCATTTTACAACCCTAGTTCTGGCCTTTTATCATCACTGACAGAATAATTAAATAATCTTAGTGTATGTTTTACTGGACTTTCCTCCAAACCATCCTCCACAAAAATGTCAGAGTATATTCCTGAAATAAAAGTCTAATCACACCACTGCCTCATCAAGAAAATTCCGTTTACAAAAGTATCAAAAAAGGTAAAACACTTAGGAATAAATTTAACAAAAGAAATGCGAAACTTATACTCTGAAAACTACAAAATATTGTTGAAAGAAATAAACCCTTATCTTTCAGTCAAGGGAATTCTGACCACAATGACAAGAAAATTCACTGGGGAACAAATACTCTTTTCAACAAATGATACTGGGACAACTGAATATCCACACACAAATCAAGCTGGACCCCCTCCCCTCAACAGACAAAATTTAACTCAGAATGGATCAAAGACCTAAACTAAAGAGGTAAAACTATAAAACTCTTAGAAGAAAATATAGGAGTAACGGGCCAGGCATGTTGGCTCACACCTGTAATCCCAGGACTTTGGGAGGCTGAGGTGGGTGGATCACCTGAGGTCAGGAGTTTGAGACCAGCCTGGCCAACATGGTGAAACCCCATCTCTACTAAAAATACAAAAATTAGCTAGACGTGGTGGCACATGCCCATACTCCCAGCTACTTGGGAGGTTGAGGCAGGAGAATCACTTGAACCCGGAAGGCAGAGGTTGTAGTGAGCTGACATCATGCCACTGTACTCTAGCCTGGGCGACAGAGTGAGACCTCATCTCAAAACCAAAACCAAAACCAAAGCAAAAAAACCACAAAACTCTCTGGGCCTAAAGTGCCCTGACTGATCCAGGCCCTGCCTATAGCTCCTGTCTATTTACTGCCCTTTGCCACTCAGTGTATTCCAGACATACCAGCATTCTTTCTTTCCATTTCAGCCATTTTGTTCTGTCTCCTCTCTCAGCCCAGAGTGCTTGGATCAAATCTTCCTGTGATAGGCTCCTTGTTGTCCTCAGGCCATGTCTCTAATGTCTGCTTCTCAAAAAGGCCTCCCCTGACTGCACAAAGTAGCCCCTCTTGTTGCTTCTGTCTCTAACAAGAAGTCTCTCTTTTGCTTATTTATTTCTTTATTATTGCTCTTTCCCTCTACTAAGAGAGATGTCTCCTGATAGCAGGGATCTCGTCTGTATTGGTCACTGCTATACCACCATAGGTAGGCACAATTAGGTTTGGTTTTTCTATAATATAAAAGACCAAAGTATACAGTTTCTACAGTGGTTGTAGACAAATAGACATTTATTCCTCTCATATAAAAGAAATGTGGGGGATAAGTGGTCAAAGCTCATATGATATCCCCCATGATCTTATTAAGAACACAGGCTCCAATCTTACTGCTCTACTATCCTCAAAACACAAACTCCAACTGCAGAGTCACATCATGGTCAAGAAAGCTGCTATTGCACTAGTCCTGAGTTACCATACTTCCAGGAAGATATATGTAATAATTCCTCTGCATGTCACTGGCTAGAAGTAGTCACATGGCTATACCTTACTGCAAAGGAGGCTGGGAAATGAGGTACTTATTTTGTGTGGCAATGTAGAATCAAACATCAAGCTGCATTACTGAGGAAGAAAAAAATTGATATTGGGTAGCAACATCTTCCACAGGATATAAGGTTAGTTAGATTCTGTAGTTTATTGGAGTAATAAAGGGCTTTATTTTGACTCTGTATTCTTTCTTTATGCTAAGTAGTTGCAAGATGACTGCCTAAAATTCCTTTGTTCACATCTAGGGGAAGACAGGGAATGAGGCTGAGTCACCTCAGGTTGTTTTCTCAATAGGGAGAGGGGGTTTCTTTCTTATACATCCCAGAAAATGTCTCCTCTAATTGTATGGATCATAACGGAATCAACAATTATGCCTAAGGGAAGAGACTAAGATAAATCACATGCATCTTTATAGAACTAGAAGTTTGAGCTACCTTACCCCATAGCAAACAGATTATGGGTAGGAGCTCTGGATACCTGATTGGCAATCAGAATAGCTATCACGAACAAGGGCATGGAAGTTGGCCAGGCCATTTTTGGTGGCACATGTTTCTCAACACAGATCATATCACATATACATGTTGAGTAAACAGACAGCCACCTCCTAATCTTCTTCATTTTCTTCTTTTCTTGTTCTTATCAACTAAAATCCATATAAGTTCAACAACTATGCTGGCTAACATGGAAGTCATTAGCCACATGTGGCTATTGAGCATTCGAAAAGCAGCTAGTCTAAATTGAGGTGTGCTGTAAGTGTAAAATACACATTGGAATTCAAAGACATTATGAAAAATAGAATGTAAGTATCTTCCTAATACATTTTAAACTGATTACATGTGAAAATGTTAATATTTTACATATATTGGGTTAAATAAAATTTTTTTAGAATGAATATATTATTAGAGTTACAATTACTAAATTTTAAAATACCTTTTTTAAACTTTTATTATGGCTACTAGAAGATTGCAAATTATGTATGTAGCTTACATTATATTTCAGTTAGACAGCACTAATTGATAACACTTTTTCTGTCACCTTACACGAACTCTCTACCTTGAGTTAATCTACCTTCAAGCAAAATTGAACTATGTGCTACTAACATGCTCTAATTCCATACCTGAATTCCCCATCTCTACTTACCTTTCAAGCTCTTACTCCAATGCCATCTCATCAACAAAGACTTACTATGATTCCTTTACAACTAGAAGTCATATCTTCTTCTTCTCCAATACTATACAACTTTACCTGTGCAGTTTGATGGCAGAGAACACGTTTTCTATATATCAGAGTGAATTGTTTACATGTTTTAACACTTCTATAGACCTCATGTTTTCTTTTCTGGGGAAATGTGGTGGTTCTGTATATTTGTATTCTACCTTAATTCCTTGGCTATGATAGGAGTTTAATAAAGCATCTGTGGGTGACAGAATATATAGTGCTGCTGTGAAAAACAAAAAAGGGACAGATAGGCCTATTCTAGAAGGAAGGCTGAAAATAAATGAGTGAATGCTGGAGAAATAGCAAGGGCCAAGAAGGCTTTTGAAAGTGATGAAATACTAATTGTGTGCCATAAAGAAAAAGAATACTTCCTACGAAAGCAAGGAGTATGCTGTTGAGAATCCACATCATTCAAACAGTCTAGATCTAGGCTTTTAAGCAAATGCTTTATTTTCAACATATGCTTGAACTGAAATGGTTCAAGGAAAAAAAGTCTCAGACTTATCATAAAAATTTGGAAAATTACTTCTGAGTGTCTCAAATCAATTCAGTCTAAAATTCTAGTAAAGTGTTCATGACATTTTAGCATTCAGGGGTCCCTTGAGAGCAGGCATAAAGAAAATCTATCCAAAACTTCTCCTAAGGGTCAATTTCCCTTCATTAATTGTACTTAGAACTACTAGTGCTTCCTAAAGCCTGAATGGTTTTCTCAATCTGACTTTCCTGTTGGAATTGTTACGTTCCAAGAGTGCTCCAGAGAGCCTTCTAGCTGACTCTATTTTTCTGCACTTAGCTAGCCAAGGACCTCAAGGCTGTTAAGACTAAATAGAGACTATGCATGATAGTCTAATTCAAGGTCAAGCTATAAACTATCCTCTATCGGGCCACAGTTGCCAGGAAAAAAGTTTATGGGCATTAAAACATTAGAAATGGTTGAATATTCCTGAGCACTTAAATTGGGAACCAATAGTTATAGAATATTATTCTTTAGTTTTTCCTCAGAAGATCTTATTTACATTTAAGGTCAAAACTATTATCTTCAACAGATTCAATCTGTACTTTTCGTAAGATTCTCAATACCTATGGTCTTTAATTTATTTAATTTATATCATTTAATTGATAATTAAATGATAATTTAATTATAATTGATAATTATATGATAATTTAATTATGATAATCATATAATTGATAATTATATGATAATTTAATTATGATAATCGTATAATTTATTATAATTTATAATTACTTTAATTTATATCATTAAATATTATTTAATTTATATCATTAACACATTTGTTACTCATTGTAACTACAGTGTTCTGAAATAGCTTGCAGCACTGTCAAATTTAAAATAAGTAAGATAAATTGGCAAAAAAAAATAGATAAGTAAACTCTAATATGAAGTTATACTGAGCACAGCATGCATACTGTGAAGACCTATATACTTGCTAGATGTGGGCTACATTTTCAGTAGTCAGTTGTAAAATTGCATAATCAGAATTTATAAAAAGTGGGCATTTGTTTTCCAATCCATCTGTCAATATGATATAGTTTCTCTCTCTTCAATCATTTACTCTCTTTTTAAGGTATATCTGTTTCCCAGGCAGCATAGCTATAGAGGAACTATCTTTTTTTCCTACATAAACTTCCACCTGCTTTATTTAGAAGAGCAGATATTCATTACGTTATTGGAAAAAGTAACTGAAAGTGAAGGTAAATCCCTTTAAAACACACCAAATTTTTATGGTAAATATTCTAAAGCAAGAATAAAAAAAATATAAGTTAAATTGAGATGTTAGTAAAAAAATTTATGATATATTTATTTTTATTTAAAAATTGTGTTTGTAATTTAACTATACATCAATTCTTAGAACTGCAGACTGAATTACATGCTGATTTTTCCAACCAAAAATTAAAAGGGACAAAATGATATTCTGTCAACAGTGTGGTATGATATGAGTAATTCTACAACATTTCTTACAGAAACTATGAAATCACATCTTGCAAAAAATGAAATTTTAGTTTGCAATTGATTTGCATTAAAATTAAATTTTAAGTTAATTTGAATTAATTTTAAATTATGGCTCATATCCACTATAAGCCATAATAAAAAGATCTGGTTGGACTGGTGGGGATAAATGCTACTGCAAATTATGTGGGGTGTTTAATGGAGACTGGTTTTCAAAAACATTAGTTTATTGGAGAATCTTTTTCCTTTAAAGCAACCTTTAGTTCTCCATCAATGTCATATTTGGGTACTTAGTAAATACTCAGGTAATTAGTATGCCCTTACATTAACTAGTTAATTAACTTTATTTGTTGCTTTTTGATAGATTTTGTTTTCCCATGCTAGAATTCTGCTTTTAATTCCACATTTAATTATTCAGGTAGCTAGAGTCACATTATCTCCAAACTGCTTTTTAGCTGATGAAATTGAACCCAGCCTTCTCCCTGTTCTCGCCTACTTGGTAATATACTGTACCTTTCTATTGATTAAGTAACTTTCCTTGGTAGGCATCGGCTCTTATAATTTATTAGATTCTAAACTATGAACCAGCTCAGAATTTCAGGTTACATAGTTAGGTAAGAACAATGTGTAAATTTCTTTTCTAAAACTTAATTTCTAATAAGAGTCTCTGTTCTGCATCAAAATTCCAGAGACTTAAATAATCTCCCAGTATGAGGAGATCATCCATGGTTTCTCATTCTGTAATGCAAGGTCACTCTAAATAAAACTTCCTTTCAGAGATTTCTTTGTTCCTGGGCACATAGGAAAAAATTCTATTGCTGTAGGAAACTCATTGAGGTTGCCTAAAAACATGAGCCACCCCAAAGCAAGTCCCCCTGCCCCTTACACTAGCAACTAAGGGCTCTGTGATGTTGGCTAAGGCCTTCTATTGAGCTCTAATACAGGCTAACCAGCTATTTCTGTGGTACAGCTTCTGCACCTTGCTGGAGGACAGGAGAACTCTGGGTTCTGGTTATTTTTCTGGACTCTTTTCAGGAATGTAGCACGTGGCCTTTCTGCTCTTATGCCCCCAAATATATCTGGAGAAAGCGTATTATTCTCTTACCCTGAAAGACATTATTTAGAATTGGCGTGAGAAAGAAACCAAAACAAAAATGGAAAAACCCAAATCTCTAAATTTAGATGTTTGGTGAGAAAATCCAGGACAAAGCACTGAAAAATTCTAAATCAGTTGAGACTACACACACTGTATAAATTAGAGGAATGGAAGCATGAAATAGAAATTAGGATTAGCTTCAGGAAGAGAAGTTTTTTCATGTATATCTGAGTTTTTGCCCTGAAATTTGTTCCTTTTAATACACATATCTAATTATGTCACTTCTTGTTCTAAAACCTTCAAGGACTTTCTACCATACATAATACAGAATAAAGTTCATATTCTTTATAGTGGTTCTCAAAATCCTTCTGGTTAGGCTTTAAGCTTCATTTTTAGACCACTTCTCTCTATACTATAGGCTACAAACACAATTATCTATACAATTTGCAAACAGATAGAGAAGCATACATACTTCTACCCTAGCTGCTCTCTGTAAGTGATGCATGGGATAAGCAATAAATGCCCAAGAACTTGGGAAGAGAGAAGTATGACCTCCTGCTCTGTGACAGTCAAACTCTAAATAAACATACAGCAGAACAAAGATGTACAAAATATTCTTAAAGGAACAAAATGTCATCAGATTAAGATTTGTATAATCTACTTGTTAACTTGAACATCACCAAAAATTTTTCTTAAATCTTTAGCAGACTGAAAAAAGATCAGGGATGGAGCATTGATAGAAAAGAGAAAGCTAGGGAGCAAACATTGACTGAGACCCCATTGTACTGCTCAAAAGAGAGTGCCTTGTCATCACAATTAGCATATAATTAAGTTGTTTCTATAATGAAGATGGAAGGATACAGCTACCAGACCTAATTATACAATCCTGGTATTTAATATTTGTGAGAATAGGACCTTGTTTTTTCTCTTTCATTGTTGATTTCCTCAGTGTCTATAACAGTGAGTGGCGAATGGATGCACTCAATATTTGTTGGAAAATTAAGTCTCATTAACCCCTACAGCTCCAATTCTGTGTATTCCTAGCCATCTTTTAATTATGATGTAACTTTTTATATAGTTTTGACAACAAGGAGTGAATGTACCTATCAGTGAATAGATTATGAATTTATAAAGTATCGTTCTACATTTTATACATTGCTTTCTTGTTAATTTATTTAAATTGAATCAATCTTCTAGAGACTGATGATTCTCGAAGGCACTAATATTCAAACTTGTAAATGTACAAAGCTC